TCCCTTTTCATCATTCAGCTCTTGAGTCTCAGGTCACCTCCTCAGAGAGACCCTTCCAAACCTCCCAGCCTGCATGGGTTCCTTATCACTTTCCACCTCATTGTCCTGTTTCATTTCCCTCATACCACTGTTTCACATTAGTCAACATCATCTTGTTCTTTTTGTTCTTTATTGTCTGCACCTCCCCAGACACCATAGACTAGAGGCTTTAGGCTCCACAGTGGTAGGAACCTTGCCCATCCTGTTCACACTGTGTCTCCAGTGCCCAAAATGCACAGAGAACAAAAGGACTCCACAGGCAGATGGATAAACAAAAAGAGTGATCAGCACACCAGGCAGAGGGGATGCACCTGGAGCACCAGGGATGCTTGGGACATGTCTGTGAGGTGGACAGAGAGGGTACCTGATCATGCTCCCTAGCAGCCTGACTCCCAGCAGGGGGGTAGGTCATACGTTTCTGACATGGGAAGAGGCTATGGAACTGAATTTGAGGAGGGCTTTGCAAGGTCACGCAGAGCAAAGAGGGATCTGGAAACCTGCAGAGGGTTTCTCCTTGAGTCCTTGACTGGACTCCAACTGCAAATGCATAGAAGGCTAAGACCTGACAGAACAGCTGCTACAGGGCTGAGCAGAGGTTTCAGAAGTTACCCAGTGTGGGGAGACTTAGCTGTGACCCAGTAAGCACCTGAGGCACTCAGGTGAGACTCTAGAAAGTTGTACCTTAGGAAGAAACACCATACCCTAAGGATAAGGACTACATCCAAGGACTAAAGCAAAACCAAAGTAACATTACCTTAATAAATCCTAAAACCAAGCCTCATCAGGATTAGGGTGATTTGTAGTAATTTAACTGCCTACCAGAAAAAAAAACTCATACTCTTCGTAGAACACAAGAATCCATAGTCTCTCCAATGCATCGTCTGCAGAATCCAGTATATAAAAATTGACTAGACAGGTAAAGAATCAGGAAAATGTGACTCATAATCAAGAAAAAAAAGTCAATAGAAGCAGATATACCAAACATTAGAAGTAGAAGGAAAAGATTTAAAAGTAACTATTATAGCTCTTTCTCTTCAACTTGGTGGCCTAGCAGCAGACACAGAGAAGCCGATCTTCATGGAGATCCTAACAAGCAAGAACATTACCCTCAAGGTCGAGCCCAGTGACACCACTGAGAATGTCAAAGCCAAGACAATGAGGGCATCCCACTTGACCAGCAGTGTCTGTTTTGAGGGCCAAACAGCTGGAGGATGGCTGCACTCTCTCAGACTATAGTATCCAGGAAGAGCACCCTGCACTTGGCACTTGGCCTGGAGGTGGCATCCCAGCCCTCCCTCTGCCAGCTCGCCCAGAAATACAACATTGTGCTCCTGCCAGACATGCGGCCACATCAACCATCTGCACCTTCAGATGAAGGTCAATAAAGCCCCTCCATCAGTTCTTCCTTTCCCCACAGGGTGGCCTCCTGCCCGAGCCCCGTGGCCCTGGGGCCTCAATAAAATTTCACTTACACTGACTGGGGGAAAAAGCCCAACCTATTATAAACATAACACAGAATTTCACGGAAAATTTGAAAAAAGAACCAATTGAAAATTCCATTCTGGAATTAAATAAAAATACAGTATGTGAAGCAAACCGTGAATAGACTTAACAGAAGACTGGACACAGAAGAAGAAAGAATCTGTGAATTCAAAGGGAAGTAAGTGGAAATTTTATGATGATACAAAGGGAGAGAAAAGAATTTAAAAACAGAACACCTGACAAAAGGACTAATGTGTAGCTGGAGTTACAAGAGAGATCGAAGCAGAGGAAACATTTGAAAAGATAAGAGCAGAGATTTTTTTTCCAGACTGATCAAAGGTACCATTCTAGGTATTCAGTGTTCAAGGGCAACAATCTGTAGAGAAAATCTTGTGATTTTGACATATGATATCAAACTTTTTAGCACTTCATTACATACTTCAATGTTATAAATAAAGCTAGTAAAACCATTCTAAATGACAGTCTCTGGGGGAAAGATACACATGAGACTAAATTCCCACTTTTAAAATGTAACTTTCTACTGGGTACATATTAAAGACACCCCAAAAAAGGTGAAAGTTCACAGGCAGTGTGGGTTTAAAGCACCATACCCAGAGATTTAAGAACTAAACCATCAGTTCTCTCTGATTTCATTCATTTGTTCCCTGTAAACCCTCTCTGCTCTCTAAAAAACAGTTGATAGGGATGCCTGGGTGGCTCAGTTGGTTAAGTGCCTGCCTTCGGCTCAAGTCATGATCCCAGGGTCCTGGGATCGAGTCCCACATCAGGCTCCCTGCTCAGCGGGGAGCCTGCTTCTCCCTCTGCCTGCTGCTCCCCCTGCCTGTGCTCTCTCTTTCTCTCTTGCTCTCTCGCTGAAAAATAAATAAAATATTTTAAAAATAAATAAAGAAAGAACAGTTGATAAATTGCGCCTGCCTTTCAGAGAGAACTGAAACACAAGTGGGAGCCTCATCCAGGCCAGAATGACAGAAAGAAGTAAAAAGAAGCCAAGACTTTAAAGTGATGACAGGTCTTTATCAAACACTGCACCCAACAGTAGCAGAATATACATTCATCAAAATAGACCATATGCTGTGTCATAAAAACATTTCTCAATAAATTTAAAAGGAGGGCGCCTGGGTGGCTCAGTTGGTTAAGTGGCTGCCTTCAGCGCAGGTCATGATCCCAGGGTCCTGGGATCGAGTCCCGCATCAGGCTCCCTGCTCGGCGGGGAGCCTGCTTCTCCTTCTCCCTCTGCCTGCCTCTCTGCCTACTTACGCTATCTCTCTGTCAAATAAATAAATAAAATCTTTAAAAAAATAAATCAATCGATAAATAAATAAATTTAAAAGGACTGAACTCATACAGAATATTTTCTTCAACCACAATGGAAATAATCTAGACATCAATAACAGAAATCCCCTCATATTTGGAAATTGAACAATGTCCTTCACAAATCAAAGAAAAAATCACTTTCATATGTTGTATTTTCATTACGATTCCGTTCAAGGCATTTGGAAAACAAAAACAATAATGAACTGAACAATAATGAAAATACAACATGTGAAAATGTGCAGGATGCAGTTGAAAAAAGACTCAAAGGAAAATACATAGCTATAAATGCAAACATTAGAAAGGAAGAAAGCATTAAAATTAATAAACTAAGCTTCTACCCCAAAAAGCCAGAGAAAAGGAAAGCAAATTAAGCCAAAACAATGGAAGGAAATAATAGAAAGCAGAAATCAATGGAACGGAGGAAAAAAACCTCAATCATGTCAATAGATGCATATAGAGCATTTGACAACACCCATTCATAATAAAACAAAACAAAACAAAACAAAAAAACAAACTCAGCAATCCAGGAATAGAACTTTCTCAATTTGTTAAAGGGCAACAGATCATATTTAATGGTGAAATATTGAATGCTATCCCCTAATATCAGGAGCAAAGCAAGGATGTTCATTCTTATCACTTTTATTTAATACTGTACTGGATATCTATGGTGACAGATATCAGAAGAATGGTTGCCACACTGGGGGAGTCCTAAGTGGAAAAAGACATAAGGAAATGTATGGGGATGGAAATATTCTATGTGTGGATTGGAGTATGGGTCACACAAATATACATTTGCAAAACTTTTTTGGGCTGTACTCTTAGAAGCAGCATGTCTCACTGTATGTTAATTTCACATCAATTTTTTTAAAAAAGTACTAGAGGTCCTAGCTGGTATAATAATATGAAAAACAAAAAAGCATAAAGTCTGAAAAGGAAAAAATAAAGCAATCTTTATTTGAAGATGACATGATTGTATAAAATATCTAAAGACATTGAAAATTAATTACTAAAACAATTAAGTGATTTTAGCAAGCTCACACAGGATAGAATGTCAAAGAAAAAATTATATACACTAGCAACAAACAATCAGAAAATGAAATTAAAAATAAGATTTACAATAGCATCAAAAATGCCAAATTTCTAGGAATAAAATTAGTAAAAGATGTGCATGACCCATATGCTTAAAAACTGCAAAATACTGCTTGAGAGAATTACCTAAATAAATATACCATGATCCCAAAGTTAGAAGACTCAACATGTTAAGACATAAAGTCTTCCCCAACTGATCTAAGGCACTACCAATCAAAACTGTTAATCTATCACTCAACAAGTCCACTCCTAGATATTTACTCAAGAGAAATAAAAACACAAGTCCACTAAAAACATTGCACAAGAATATCCATAGCAGCATTATTCATAATAGCCCCAAACTAGAAACAATCCAAATGTTCATTATCAAGAGAATGGATAAATTGTAAATCATCAAAAAGTAAAATGTCCCTCAATAGTAAAGAGTAAATAGGAATGAAATAATAATGCATATAATATCATGGATGGGTAAACCTTATACAAAAGAAATAATATATGGGGGCACCTGGGTGGCTCAGTCGGTTGAGCAGCTGCCTTCGGCTCAGGTCATGATCCTAGGGTCCTGGGATCGAGCCCCATGTCGGGCTCTGTGCTCAGCGGGGAGCCTGCTTCTCCCTCTCCCTCTGCCTGCCTGTCTGCCTACTGTGATCTCTCTCTCTCTGTCAAATAAATAAATAAAATCTTTAAAAAAAAAAAAAGAAAGAATGTATGGGGGCGCCTGGGTGGCTCAGTCATTAAGCGTCTGTCTGCCTTTGGCTCAGGTCATGGTCCCAGGGTCCTGGGATCGAGCCCCACATCGGGCTCCCTGCTCAGCGGGAAGCCTGCTTCTCCTTCTCCCACTCCTCCTGCTTGCTTTCCCTCTCTCACTGTGTCTCTCTCTGTCAAATAAATAAATAAAATCTTCCTGGAAAAAAAAAAAAAAAAGAATGTATGATTCTCTTTATATGAAGTTCTAGAAAAGGCAAAAATAACCTATGGTGGAAAAAAAAATCTCAACAGTGGTTGCCTTTTTAAATGGAAAGAGGTAACAAAGGAACTTTGTGAAATAATGAAAATGTCAACTTTATTTGGGTAAGAATTACATATGTGCATACATTTATCAAAATTTTTCAATTGAATATTTAAATTTTGTGCACTTTAAAAGTATTGTTGGCAAAAAAATAAAAAATACCCATTGTCTTCAAAGTAACAATAGTAAGATGAAGGTTGACTTCTCAACAGAAACCTTGGAGTCCAGAAGACAATGGCATGATGTCTTTAAAGTGCTGAGAAAAAGAAAAAACAACAATAACAACAAAAAAACCCTGACAACCTAAAATTCTGTTTACGGTATCTTTCCAAAATGAAGATGAAATAAAGGCATTTTCAGGCAAACACAAAATGAGGGCATTTTGTCACTCTAAAAGAACTCTAAGCAATAGGAAAAAGATCCCAGACGTAGTTATGGAAATGCCAAAGGTAATGAAAAGCACTAGAAAAGGAAGATATGAAGGAACATATAAACAAACACTGACTGTAAAGATCTTTTCCCCATCTCACCTAGGCAGGAATCTTGGGAGAGTCCTCTGTCCATCATCCGTTGCTCTACTCCAAGTTCTAGGTGGGCAACAATATCTGGCTTGAGGTTCCAAGGTCCTGTGCAAATGAATGATCAAGCTGTGAGGTTTTGGTTTTTTTCATATACATTTTGTGACAACATTTTTTTTTTTTTGGTGACAACATTTTTTAAAATTGTTTTTAAGTAAACTCTATGTCCAACATGGGGCTTGAACTCACAACCCCAAGATCAAGAGTCACATGCTCTACAAGATGAACCAGGCCGTCGTCTCAGGCTGTGAGGTTTGATGAGGAGAAATCCCCCCGTGACTCCACACTCCCAGCTAAATCAAACCCACTCTGCCAAGACCCCAGGCAAATCGAAGTTGACATGGGGAAGAGCCTCACCCACAGGGACCGGGTGTCTTAAGGTCTCCAGCATCACATCATGGTACAGGGTCCGCTGGGCAGGGCCCAGCAGGCCCCACTCCTCCTGGGTGAAGTCCACTGCTACATCATCGAAGGTTACCTGCCCCTGAAATGTCACCCACATGTCTGCTGAGCCAGGACCCTTACCCCTGCAAAGTTCCCAGAAGAGCAGGGAGGGGCTATGTGGGAATGTGAAGATTGCACCCATGTGTACAGGGAGGTGTCCTGAAAGCGTTCTGGCTTCTGAGGGATACACCTGGGCCTTCCTGGGGGGCATCAGGGGTCTGCATCAGCCATTTCAGACGTAAGCCGCCATTACACTAAAATGTTCACACCCATTCTTGATCAACTTGTTATCTTCAAAACCAAATGAACAGTTCCCTTTAGGATTCCCCTTCCTTTTTTACACCACCAGGTACAGAAAAATGATAACGTTAATATTTGCTGATAATAATGTTAACATTTGCCAAGGGTTCCCTTTCCACGCTGGGCGCTGTATTTAAGTAAGCACTTTACCTAATGGAAATTTTCTTAGTCCTCGGAACAGTCTTAGGACGCAGTTCCCACTTCCTGGGGTGGCTTTTGTTTTTAAGATTTTATTTATTTATTTTTTGTCAGAGAGAAAGCACAAGCAAGGGTAGCGGCAGGCAGAGCAGGCAGAGGGAGAAGCAGGCTCTCTGCCAAGCAAGGAGCCCGACCCGGGACTCGATCCCGAGACCTGACCGAAGGCAGACGCTTAACCGACTGAGCCACCCAGGCGCCCCTGGTTCAAAAGGAGCCTGAGCTCAGAGTTTACACGTCTTGGAATCATGGCTATGGCGGCTGCATAAAAGCGAACTGAGAGATGTTCCCTTTTTTAGACAACCCTTCCAGCTGACGGGAATGTGCGGTAGCTGAAGCCATCTGGAAGCGGAGTGTGTAACTTTCTTGCTGGGAGGTTTTGTTTCGGTCTCTCCTGGTTACGGGACTTCGCAGATGCAAGGACTGCAGGATTACGGAGGTTTTCCGCCTCGCTGGGCCACAACGACGGGCTGCGGCACCGACTCCCACCCGAGCCCGAGAGCAGGGTCCAGACCCAGCCCGGGAAGGGAGGGCGCGCGGCCCCTCACCGGCGGGCGGGCTGCCAGGGGCCCCGCGGCCACGGCCTCTTCCGACTCCGAGGTCCTCAAGGAGACACCTGCAGCCCCAGCCGCTCCCTCCAGCGCCCACCGGCTCGGGGCTCCGGATAGACCGCCCGGGGCGGCCCCACACAGCGGAAAAACCAGAGCCGCGCGGCGGGCGGCGCCGAGAACGAAGCGGAACTACCACGACCCGAAAACCCCGCGCGGCCGCCCCTGACCAATGGGAGAGCGCGGCCGGGGACCCCGGAGCGACGGACCCCGCCGCATGGGCACTCCGGGAGTTGTAGTCCTGCGGCCGGAGCCCAGCCCTAGTCCAGCAGTCGGCACAGCCGAGAGCCCGGAGAGTCAGACTACGTTTCCCAGAAGGCGCGGAGGCGGGGCTGTCCGCCCAATGGGCATGCACGACCGGGCCTGGGGTGGGAACGGGGCCTTCCGTGCCTGGGAGCCTAGGCTCCCCGGCCGGGCCTAGGGGGCAGTGAGACAGATTTCTCTCACTGTAATTCCCCGAAGTTACCGTTGGTCAGGTTCCCGAACCCCAGAAGCGCGCAATCGGCGGCTCCGGAGACGCCAAGAAGCCTGAGAAGTATTCTAAAAGTTATAGGGAATTATAGTTACACTAGCTTTGTCCTCCAGGTGGCGGGCGTAGACACCTATGGCCTCGTACTACATTTCCCAGAGGCTCCGCGGGGCGGGTCCTCCCGAGGAAGGAAAATAGTGGGCGGTGCCGGAAAGTAGGTGTCACCCAGGAGCGTGGCCTCCTGGGAGTTGCAGTCCACTCTAGCACATTCCCGGCCTGGTCCTGCGCTGAGGCTCGGACTACAGCTCCCACAAGGCTCTCTGGCAGCGTGGGGTTGGGAGTGTCTGGGGGCCGCCGGCCCTCAGCTCCAGCTGTCAAAGACGCTGGCTTCACAAATACACCTTCCTGGGGACGAAGTAAAAATAAGTGTCTTGATGTTCTTTTTTTTTTTTTTTTTAAGATTTTATTTGACAGAGAGAGACACAGCGAGAGAGGGAACACAAGCAGGGGGCGTGGGAGAGGGAGAAGCAGGCTCCCCGCGGAGCAGGGAGCCCGACGCGGGACTCGATCCCAGGACCCTGGGATCATGACCTGAGCCGAAGGCAGACGCCCAACCGACTGAGCCACCCAGGCGTCCCAAGACTTACTTATTTTAGAGAGGGGAAGGGCAAATGGAGAGGGAGAGAGAGAATCCCAAGCAACTCTGCACAGAGCGGGAGCCCACCTGGGGGGCCTACCCCAAAACCCTGAGATCAGGATCTGAGCTGAAACCAGGAGTGCCACGCTTAACCAGGCACCCCAAACCCAGGGCTAGTCCCTAACCCACTCCCCAGCCACTCTGGCATTTTGTATCATTTGAAAGCAAATCCCAAACAGTGTTTTGGTGTCCTATTTTAACTACAATATGAAATGTAAAGATAAGGACCATTTTCTAACATAACTAAAATTCCATTATCAAAATTTTAGAAAAAATAACTTTTGCACTATTGAATATTCAGTATTACAACTTAAAATTATATCCACGGTTTTAAGTAGTTTGAGAGACGCCTGAGTGGCTCAGTCTGTTAGGCGACCGACTCTTGCTCAGGTCGGAGATGGAGTCTGACTGGAGCTAAAGGCTCAGCGGGGAGTCTGCTTGAGTTTCTCTTTCCCTCTCCCTCTGCCCCTACCCCTACTCGCACTCTCTCACTCTCTTCCTCTCTCTCTCTCAGATAAATAAATAAAATCTTTAAAAATTTGTTTGAGAGAGAGAGAGACAGAGAGAGTGACAGAGAGCATGAGTGGGGAGGAGAGGGAGAAAGGCTCCCCAGTGAGCAGGGAGCTGGATGTGAGGCTTGATCCCAGAACCCTGAGATCATAACCTGAGCTGAAGGCAAATGCTTAGCTGGCTGAGCCACCCAGGTGCCCCAATAAATAAATATTTAAAAAAAAAAAAGCTTTTTTTAAAGGAGGATATAACAAAGGGCTACGCTTTGTAACATATTAATTCCCTTTTTTGTTTTTTGCTAACAGCTTTATCAAAGTATCATTCACATACCATGAAATTTGCCCCTTTACAGTGTAGAATTCAGTCATTTTTAGCATATTCACATATTTGTGCAACCATCACGAAAATCAATGTTAGAATATTTCTTCCCCCCAAAAAGTCCTGCACTTCTTAGCCTTCACCTACCAATTCATCCTCCCCCACCCTAGGCAACCACTAACTGACTGTCTCTATGCATTTGCCTATTTGGGACATTGCATATAAATGAAGGCATATAATATATGGTCTTTTGTAATAGGCTTCCTGCACTCAGCATAATATTTCAAGGTTCATCCATATCATAGTTTCAGTAGCTTATTTCTGTATTGCCAAATCACATTCCATTGCATGGATATGGCATATTCTGTCCACTCATCAGCTGAAGGACATTTGAGTTGTTTCCACTTTTTGGCTGCTCTTAACATTTGTGCACAAGTTCTTGCGTGGACATAACATTTCATTGTCCTTGTGTATCTATCTAAGAGTGGAATTACCAGGTCATATGGTCATTCTATTTTTAATCTTCTGGAGAACTGCCAAACTGTTTTCCATTTTACATTCCCACCAACAGTGGATGAGGGCTTCAACTTCCTCACCAACACTTGTTATCGTTAATATTGTTGTTGTTGTTATTATTATTATTATTATTGCATCGTGGGCCTTTTCCAAACTTTTTTATTTTTATTTTTTGGGGGTTATTTATTTAAGTTTATTTCTTTAAGTAATCTCTACACACAACATGGGGTGTGAACTCATGTCCCTGAGATCAAGAGTCTCATGCTCTTCCAACTGAGTCAGCTGGGTGCCCCCTAACCCTTTTATTTGTGAGGATCTTCAACAGTGCCTACAAAGAGAATAGTCAATGACCATCCATATGCCCATCATCTTGATCTAACAGTCATTAATATTTTGCTCGATGTACTTCATCTCTCGATCATTTAAGTTGCTTTCCAGCCACAGAAAAACAATGAGTCCAAATCCTGTGACACCAGCATCTTCAGTGAGGACTGACTCGTGAGGCTCATGAGGCTCTGTGGCCTGGATCTGGGAGATGCTTGCTCCGGGGTTCCTCACCGTGTCTTTCCCAGTGAGCCCAGCATCCATGCCTTAACCAGGCTAGAACATTCTGCTCAGGTTTCAGCAGGATGATGCAGCACTTGGAAATGAGGATGCCATCCAGCAGCCCTGCAGTTGGGGCCAGGATGGAGAAGATCTCCACAGCCACAGTGGCCTTCCCCGGGTGCTGTGGTACACGGGCAAGAAGGCCTTCCAGATGCTGCAGAAAAGCAGCATGCTGACGGTGAGGAACTTGGCCTCGTCAAGGCATCAGGCAAACGCCCGGCCAGCAAGGCCAGAGAGAAGCCAGCTACACGGAGGGAGCATTCCACGTATTCCATTTATTGATTCATTCGCTTATTCTTCTTTCTTTTAACTTTACTGAAGTATAATTGACAAATAAAATTGTAAGATATTTGAAGTGTACATCGTGATGATTTGATACACTTGTACACCTGTGAAAGCGTTCCTCCTATCGAGTTAATTAACACATTCATCCCTTACATATTTTTTTCTTTTCTTTTTTTTTAAGATTTATTTATTTATTTGAGAGAGCGAGAATGAGAGAGAGAGAGAGAGTACATGAGAGGGGGGAGGGTTAGAGGGAGAAGCAGTCTCCTCGCCGAGCAGGGAGCCCGATGCGGGACTCGATCCCGGGACTCCAGGATCATGACCTGAGCTGAAGGCAGTCGCTTAACCAACTGAGCCACCCAGGCGCACTCTTTTCTTTTTTTCTAAGAACATTTAAGTTCTGACGATGCCACGCCTGACAGAAATGCACTTGCTTGTCCCCAAGGGACAAGGACAGCGACAGTCACAGCAGCACTGCTCGTTATTGCCCCTGAACAGAAGTCATGATCTGTCCGCACATGGGATCCTACCAGGCGTGAGACCCAGAGAGCCACAACCACACA